ATGTTTGTTTTTGTTTTTTTTTTTTTTTTTTTTTTTTTTCCTGTTGAATGGTTTAAAGCGAAAAACAAACCCTTTTAGGAAATAATTTGCCATCCTGTGTTGTGGAATGAGGGGCTGTTAAGACACTGCCCTGCTACCTGGAGTTGGAGTTTAGCATGAAAGTGGTGCTCATGCCCGACGCCCTTGCACACGAATCTGCACGCAACCACTGTAGAGGACCCTCACTGTCTCAGAGCAGGTACCGTCCAAAACTACTCCAAAAGACCTCCAAGTTAAAGATTTAAGCTGTATTCTTTAGACTTGTATTTAGAACGTGTCACTTCCTCTGAGCTGTTACTGCCTGTACAGAGTCCTGGACAGCATCAATTGCTGTCCTCTAGGAGAATACAAGCCTTAATAAACACACCTGTTACAAGTCTGTGTGCTCGCGTCCTTCATCCTCCTGTCAGGGCCAGGTCTTACGCTGGTGGAGCCAGTGTGAAGTTCTCGGGTCTGAGGCCCTCGTTCTCAGGGAAGGTGGGGAGCTGAGGACCCGGGACGGACCTGTGCTGCAGTGTCACTTCTCCCTCAGTGTCTTCCATTGAAAGGGCAGAGGAACTCCTAAAGCTCCTTAAAGCTTAGAATCGCGGCGCCTCCGACACAGGTGGAGGCCACCCGTGACTCCGACCTCTGCCAGGCTGCTTTCTCACCTCAGTCCTTGTGCCCACCCTCAGTCCCTCCTGCTGCTTGTGTACGTCAGGGGCAGACAGCAGTACACTTCCTCTTGACATTCTCCACGCGTGCCTGTTTGATGTTTGTTCACAGGGTGTGTTCCTTGGGAGGCAAAGTTTACAGACAGTGAAACACATGTGTCCAGGCATGTAGATCCCGGTTCCTGACATGTATGAGCTATAGGTAAAGACAGAGAGTGAGTATCATCCCAGGAGTCCTCCTGTTCTCTCCCAGGCAGTCGCTACCTCTGCCTCAACTTAATCATTCATCGGGAGACACACAAAACACAAGCATAGGAAAACTGGTCTCACGCTCTGACAGGTTGTCAGGTGACTATTTATTTTCTCCACCGTACCTCCAAATTGCATCCAGAATTTTACTTGAGGGAGTGTGTTTTAAACTGAGTGCCTAAGTATTTGTGTGCCATTTTCTTGCACAAGTGCATTCACTGGTCTCCAAAGATGAAGTAATGCCTGCATTTAAGTGATGGGCTGGGAGATGCACCAAGAGGGCATGCACCTTACACAGGGTGTTCCGCCTTTTTAGCACAGGAGGGCAAGGGGAGTCATTTAGGGCAAAGCGGTGAGTGCTGGCCACTGTGGAGCTGGAACAGTGCTGGACTCGGTAGTGGTGCCTGCCCGCTGTGTGTGCGTTTTGAACGCACAGTGCAAGTCAGTTACCCTATGCTGAGGCACCCTGCACTCCCAGGAGTCATCACCTCTTCTGCAGACAAACTATAGAGTTGGCCTCTAATTGGAGGAGCAGTTGGGCTTCATCAGATTCCTGGTTCTTAGTAGTGCCTGGTGTCAGGGAACTTGGCGTGTGCTGTGAAAGTTAGAGCGAACTTCAGTAATTTAGATGTGTGCCACACTGGTTTGTGAAGGGCTGTATCCCACGCCTGCCTTCCACAGCCAGCCAAATAAGTCTTATCCCCCGCCACCCCGTAGCAAACTGTGTTAGGATTTCATAATGGATTCTAAGTCCTGGTAAAGCTATTAGCCAGCAGTGCCACTTGGTGTCCTTCTGTTACCTTTCAGATTTGCATTTTCAGGTTTTTTTTTTTTTTTGAGAATTATTAGAAAAGGCATTTCAGTAGTTGTCCTCCATGACGTTTTTAACATCACAGCTCTGTGGATGGCATTCACCATTCACATGCTATAGATATTGTCGAACTGAAAGGACACCCAGTTCAGTCTCTTCGGAGCTGCCGGGCTTTCCCACTCCTAGGGATCTACTGAGGAGGAGTGCCAAGGACAGGGCCCAGGGAAGGGTGTGGAAGAGAAGGGCGGCCCTGCCCTGCCCCAAAGGTTTGCGTCCAGACTAAGTCTAACTCCCTCTTGGGCCTTGGATACAGTACTAGGTGCTTGAGTCACCTGCTTCCCGCCTGCACTGTCACCGCTGGTGTGGGGAAGGAGTGGCCTGCCCAAATAATAAGGCTCCTCGTCTCTGTGGAGTGGGTGCCAGGTCCAGGCGGCACCTCTGCCCAGTGTCTATGTGAACGGGCAGGTCTGGGGCAAGCAGGAGCTGCTGGCCCGCTGACTTCTGTGGTGGCCCGGGGCTGGGATCATCTCAGACGAGTCTGCAGTGCAGCTCTTTCACCTTTGGGATGTTGAGGTAGGCTTATGGGGTATTTGTCAGCAGCACCCTTCCTCCCCAAGTGTCCATGCCACTGAGCTTCTCCAGAGAATGACCAGTGACTGCCAAGTGCTGGGTAGAGCTCAGGCACATGGGTGGCGTTCGGCATGTTCTCCACAGATGTCTCCTCATCCTTTCCAGAGCCGGGGAGGACAGGTCACCTATGATAAGGCATAAAGAGGTCTTTGGTGTATGACAGCTCGAGAGTAGGTGCGGGCGCAGGGTCTAGGTGGGACTCGGTCAGCACACTGTGCTGGAAAGGGAGTGGGGGTTGTGTCTATAGGGCCCATTTGTGCTCAGTGTCCAGCTGCCTCAGAGTCTTGTCTTCCCTGAGAGAGCCTGTGTTTTCATCCCCACCTCTCAGAGCAAGGGGTGAGCAGCCCACCCTCCTAGGGGAGTTCCCTGCACTCAGGACCTAACCATGATTCTGACAGACCGGTGCTGCACAAGGTTGGAGTCTGGGGACACTGAGGGCAAGAGTAGATGTGAACGCTACCGGAAGACGGACTGCCCAACCTGTCCTGCCTACGGGTTTGTCCCTTTTGGGATACCTGGACTCTGGCAGGGTCAGGGGCAGCTGAAGCAAGAGCTGGCTGCTCCGAGCTCCTCCGTCTCCCACAGAAGGTGATGTAAACCTCTGTTTTTCCACCACGTAGCCAGGGTCCTTGGGTGGGTGACATGAACAGGCTCTGTTCTTACTACTGTCTAGTTTCTCTGCCCACTGGCTGGGTGGGATGCCACTGTGAATTCAGGATGGGACGGCAGAGTTCCAGCTTAGCGTGGAGGGATAGAGTTAGACTGGAGAGGGCAGCGGGTCACTAGCCATTGCAGACACCAGACCAGCCTTGGTGTGGCCTCTTCTGGGCAGTGTGGCTCCCAGGTGGTGCAGCTTTGGGGAGTGGGGGCTAAGGAAAGCTCATGCCACAGCAATGCAGGAGCATTGGTGTCTCCCTTGCTCCTGGGGACAGCAAGCTGAGGCCCAAAGGAGGGGAGCTGGGAGCAGTGGGAGTCTGAGAAGAGCCTCTGGTTAGAGCTTCAGTGCAGGCAAAGGGTCTCAGGCAGGAGGGGCTCCCAAGTGTCCGGAGAGTCTGGAGGGATAGGGAGTGGGTGGTGTTTCTACCTCAGAGTTGGCTGCTATGCCACACACACCAGACACAAGCCTGGAGAGAAGCAGGCCTTCTTAGGGCTCTGTTTGGTCTTCAGACTCTTGGGATGTCCCCAGCTTTAGGGTGAGTGGACTCTGGGGGTTTGTCACCCTGTCCAGAGATGGCCACTTGCACACAGGCACAACACAAATGCAAGTGCACACATGAACACTAACATACTTGTGCACACAGTACAAGCATCCTTGCACATGGGTGTGCATGCGCACATAGTTGTGTCCAAGGCAGTGCCCATGAACATGTGTCGATGCCCACAGTTGCATACATGTGGGCTTTGACGAGTTAGTTGTAAAGATGTGAACAATCCTAGATAAACAGGTTCACTTTGGTGAGGGTTTGTCTTCCCCACCACCTGGGTGCTAGTCTGCCTCTTCAGTTCTGTAATTTGCAGGGACCTGCACATAGGGAAGGTGAGATTTTGTTGGAAACAGGCCTTTCTGGGGGCCCAGTCTCATCCTCAGACTCTTGAGATGTCTCCAGCCCTTGGGCCGGTGGGCTCTGAGCAGGGATTGCACCCTGTTCAGGTATGGCCACCATGTCTTTTAAACCAGGAAGCAGGACTGTTTGCCACAGAAAGTTCTGTACTTCTAAGTCTGTGAAATGCTTTCTGGAGGTCTTCCCTGGACATTTTCAAAGACTGGAAGACATCCAAGGTCAGTTGGGTCAAGGGCTACTTGGACAGTGATGGCTGTGGTCTCCATAGCCTGGGGAGAGTTGTCCTGACATGGGTTTGGGGACCTGCACTTTTCTCAGCTCATCTGTCTTTGACCTCCCTCCTTTCTACTCTAAGCTCTTAGCTCCACTCGGTCACTGCTCCTTTGGTGTCCTCAATATGTCCTCACCTGTGTTAACTTCCTGTCACTTTAACAAAATACCTGAGATAACTGACTTACAAGATTTCTTTTGGCTCATAGTTTTGGAGGCTCCAGTCCATTTCTGTAGCCCTCTAGTAAGGGTACAGACGGTGGTGGGGAGTGCATGTTGGCACAGAACTACTCACCACACGGCTGTGATGCAGAGGAAGGGTCTGAAGGCCACATTCCCTTCGTGGCCATGTTCCCAGTAACCTAAGGACTTCTCACTAGGCTGTACTTCACAGAGGCTCTGCTGTTTCTCAGCGGTGCCACCCTGAGGACCAAACTTTTAATGCATGGGTTTTGTAGGTTGCTTATTCAAATTATAGTACCTTCCTAGAAGAATACAGGT